GGGTTCGTAGGGTTTAGGGGTTTAGGGTTTAGGGTTTATAGGGTTTAGGGGTTTAGGGTTTAGGGGTTCGGGGTCTAGGGTTTAGGGTACGAGGTTTAGGGTTGAGGGTGCGAGCGTTCCATCCGGCTTTGGGGTTTAAGGTTCTCGGGGTGTAAAGGTTGTTATATACAAGGCTCTAGCTGGAACGAGTGTCAACGGTTTTCCGCCTTCTTGGAAAGGCTCTGTGGGGAGTCGTTTTACCGGGTGTAGGCTTTAAAGGCTTTAGGGCTTCAGCTTTAGGCCGTCATTGTTTTCCAGGGCATGGCTCCTATGATGTAGCTTCCAGGGCATGGTCCTCATCAATGAAGGTTTTGAAGCCAAACAAGGATGAGGGTGTTGGAGCTTGAACAACAGGGGATGAAGGTTCTGGAGCTTCGATATCAAATTCCAACAAGATCACAAAAAATAATTGGAAGCACGGCTTGGAAGTTTTACAATGCCAAACAGCTCATGGCGCTCCCCTAAAGCCGCTGTAAAACTCCATGAAACCCTCTAAACCCTGTAAATGTCTACGAAGTCCCCTAAATCGGCTCGTACATAAACCGCTTAACAGAGCCCTAAAGCCCTTATAAAACCCCGAAAGCCCTATCCAAAACGCTCCAAAACCCTGACAACATCCTGAGAAGACCCCCCCAAACCTGACAAATTCACTTTGATGGCCCCCTTCCCCCAAGGCCCTGGCGGTCGGTCTCCGCCTGCCTCTATGCGCCGCCAGAGCCTGAGACATTGCTCTGTCGACGCTTGAAGATGGCGCTGCACAGAGAGGTCCAGGGCCCCACAAGGCTTTAAGGCTTGGGGCTTTAGGGTTTTAGGGTTTAGGGTTCGGGGTTTAGGCTTTAGGGTTTGGGGTTTAGGGGAGTTTCCGTTGTCGGTTTCGGGTTTAGGGTTTAGCGTACCCGGGCCTTAGAGAGAGAGAGAGAGAGAGAGAGAGAGAGAGAGAGCTTGGAGGCCCTTTTGCCTTAGTAAGTCTACTTAGTATCCCCCAGGAGCCCTATCATAATCCCCATAACCCACCTTACTAACCCTACTTACTAAGTCAAAAGTGCCTGCAAGAGAGAGGGAGGGAGAGAGAGAGAGAGTGAGTGGTACGGCTGATGGACAAAATCCTGCATGACCTTAGATACCTAAACTATGGGATTTATGGTACTATACTATATTTGGGTCATGCAGGATTTTGTCCATCAACACTATGAGGTGTAATGGGCTGTGTTGACGGGTTCTAGAAGGATTCGATCAGAGATTGAGGGTTCCATAAGCAGCGTACATGGAGGATCATGGGCCTTAGCAACTAGGGTGATAAATAAGGTAACGGTACTTATAAGTAATTATAACCCCAATTAAGGTAGTTATAACCTTACTTACTATGTGACATGATCCTCCAAGTAGGCGATAGAGATTAGTCTGGTTTGTGTATGGCGGTGGGTGTGCTTCTTTGGAAATGGGCGTGCATTGGCCTGCATCAGCGCATGTAGTCACCGCCCCAACCACCCAAGTTATTCTCATCTACCCCCAACAACCCTAAAACCTGTCTGTAGGTTCCTTCCAGAAACACTGCAGAACCCTTATGGATCCCTGTAAAGGAACCCCTAAACCCAAACCCCTAGACCGTGGGAGCATGATTTCCACACCGAGAAAACACCAAAATGCGAGGCACTTTTGTAGCACGATTAAGATCCGGAGCGCCCATGTAGCGGCAAGAACAATTTAGGGAATTTAGCGGTGTAGGTAATTTAGGGATTGAGGGTTAGGGCTTACGGGTCTAGGGCGTATAGGATTCAGAGTTTCTAAAAAGTATTTGTATTCAACCAAGCTTCTATAATGGGATCTATGTTTTTTACGCTGATGTCACCATCCCCGTCGCACCCCGCGAAATTCCGTGGGCGCCTAACCAAGCGCTGCCCCCCAGGAAAGCCATCTAGAGCCGTTTACGCTGGACATAAGTAAGAGCCAAACGGCCCAGTATGTTTCCTTAAGGGACACTAGGAGGGACCCCTAGAAGGGACCCCTGATCCTAATACCCTATATAACTCTTATATACCCCTTATATAGTCTCATAAAGCCCCTAAAACAAACCCAAGGGTCCCTTTAAGGGTCGCTCCTTTAGTCTCCTGAGTTTCCACACTCCTTAGGAATAAAACCCTTATGAAACCCCAGCCTTTTGCAAACCTGCGACCGGAAAAAGAACTCCACCCTTAACCCAAACCCTACTCGAAAACCCTGAACCCTAAACCCTAAACCTTAAATCCTAAACCGTAAACCCTAAACCGAAAACCCTGAATCCTAAGCCTTCAAATTTCCCGTAGAACTCAGAACACGATGGGTTTTGGATCCCCATCTTTAACTACGGTTGATGATATAAATCCTGCAGTACCTTCAAGACCCCAAACTGCGGGAATTGTGGCATATTCCTTTTTATGGGTAATGCAGGAGTTAACGTATCATAGCCTGCTTTTTCGCAGGTTTCTACTAGAAACTGCGGCATAATAGAGGGTAGTTGGGGGGTGCTGGTAAACCCTAAACTCTAAACCCTAAACCTAAAACCCTAAACCCTACACCTTCAACCCTAACCGCCAAGCCTAAACCCTTAAACCCTAGCCCCTAAACCCCAAACCCTAAACCCCTCAACCCTAAACCAAACACCAAACCGCCTCGTCTCGAGGTCCAGCACGTAAAGGTCGTCGAAGCAGCTGGAGCCATCGAAACCTCCGAAGATGTAGAGGTACCTGCTAGGTTTAGGGTTTAGGGTGGGGGCGGGGCAGGGCTTTGGGGTTAAAGGTTTAGGGTTTAGGGTTCAGGGTTAGGGTTCAGGGTGTAGGGTTTAGAGTTTAGTGCTGTATGGCCGTATAGGGTTTCTGAGGGTTTTCTGTGGGATGTACTTGTGGGCAGTCTTCGAGGGTGCCGGTAAGGGTTCAGCGTCTTGCATATTTAGGGGCAACTGTTTGCATTGGGTTTACAGGGTTCTATGAGGGGTTTATAGCCGCTTTAGAACCTCGAAACATCCCTAAACCCTAGACACTCCTGACCCTAAACCCTAAACCCTTCTGAGTGGAGTTACACATGTAGGTTTTAGGGTTTTGCATTTTTGGTTTTTTGAAGGGTTCACGGTTTAGGGCTCAGGGCTTAGAGTATACAGTTTAGTGTACCTATGACCCTACTTCAAACTTACTTGCCAGATGCTCTGCTATATACTGGATGTCAGTTGTTGAAGCACTTGGGCTAGACTTTTTAGTGGGCTTAGGCATCTAGGTTCGCAACACCGCATTGGGCACGCTTTCTGCCACAATTGCAGCTTCGGATGTCCGCCACAGTCATGTCATGTCATGAAACAGGAATATTTTTATGGGATCCTCAAAGGGGGCAGGTTTCAATTCAAGGGGCGATCTCAAAGATTACTCCTGGATTCTCTCTAATACTGCGAAAAGGTTCCCTAACGTTCCCCGAAAAGATCCCTGTTACCCACCCCCTTGAACCTTGAACCATACCCCTTTAAAGGATCCCATAGTGTTTGCAGGAGTCAAGGAAACGCATCCGCTTGTCGGAACTGCTCCAAACTCCGCGAAATTTCGCCGTCAAGAGCTTTATGAAATGCACCACAAACGATATCCCTAAACCCTAAACCCTAAACCCTAAACCCTACGCCCTAAACCCTAAAAAGCGCTCCAAGGACCAGCTGAATTGGTGAGCATGGTCGGACATCTTGAGAAAGGATAAGGGTTCAGGGTTTAGGGTTTAGGGTTTAGGGTTTAGGGTTTAGGGTTTAGGGTTTTCCAGTGCACATGAACCTGCCAATTTGCAACCTGGCCTGACCCTAAAGACTAAACCCCTACTCCTAAACCCTGGACCCCTAACCCGAAACCGCCCTCCACTGCACCCTGAATCCTATGCCTAAATGAGCCTCAGATCCGAAACCGGTCCAGGAGCTCTTGAACCTAAGCTTAGTTGCTGAGGTCACAACTTTCATAAAGCCAAAAAATGCGAGCATTATCACAAAAGTGTAAACTGTACTCACCCAGCAAGAGCACTTAGGGTTATCGAGCCACTACGCAGGCCCTAAACCCTGAACCCACCTCATCCGGCGAGGACTTTGCGCCGGCCAAAAGCTCTGTTAAGCAGCACGATGCACTGACCCACGGGGTCCTACTTGCCGAATTCCTCGCAGACCCCAACAAGCCCGTTGTTAAGCGGTATTCTATAAATTGCAAAAAAGTACTTTCTCCTCTAATCATCACGTTCAAGAAGCTTCTCCCAATAGAGACCGAACATAGGAGCACAAATAGTGTGTCTAGTTCTTCCAATAGCCCTGTAAGTTCATGGGGGGGCATCCAGGTTTAGGGCGCAGGGGTTTAGGGTTTAGGGTTTAGGGTTTAGGGATTGGAGTCTG